CTTTCCCTAGTCATTATCCACATTCTCAAAAGGACCAGATTTACATAATTTACCAAGACGCATTGTTCCATTTCCTGCTCTTGTTTTAGGTCAACTGGAAGCTTCTTTTTTCAGTTTTTCTAGTATTTCATCTGGTGTCATCGATACCAAAATCTTCACCACTTTGTCACGTGATTTACCACCCTAGTTTAGACACACACACAAAAAAAATATCTTTCAGAGAATCATCACCACATACACATTCCAAAAATCTCACTGTAAAGCCAATATATCAGATACTTGGAAAAATAATGCTTATCATTTGGTATACAAAATTAACAACAGTGTGATATGGTTCATCAGTGCTTTTTCTAGCTATTTTAAAGGTGAAAAGTCGTATCTACTATCGTATTAAAATTAGATTCAGCTGCCAGAGCACACCCTAAATTAATGCTCTTTTTTACAAGCTACAAGGAGAAGCAAGAAGTACATAACTGTTGAATCAACAAGAAGTAAAAGTCCAACTGCATTTGCTTTTTGTTTTTTAAAAAGGTACTATATATGTTTGATAGATGTGGACTTTCAGATCTTCCTTCAACATTGTGTCCCAAAGAACAGTAATGACTTGAGTTCTCAGATTGATCATTATCAACAGGAGGAAAAGAAATAGCATTGCAAAAGAAAGTGTAAGACACTCCAGATTCATACAGCATTTATGAACAATAACAACAAAAATCTTTCAAGTGTTACGTACAAAATTTGTATCTGATGTAGGAACTGACAAACCTGTAACCTCATTTCATGTTGCCCAAGGTCACAACATTGCTGACATTCAGTAAAGACGTTAGAAACACATTAGCTGTATGTTAACTTGTGGCCTAGCAGGAAGGCATTTGAAAGTTCCACAAGGGACATCCTGAAGGAGGAAAAAGTTCTTAGCTCTAATATACAGAAATAAGGTATGAATTGTAAAAAGAAAAATAGATTTTGAAGCAGTCTAGCCCACTGATGAAAATCAAGACACTGCATAAAAGTCCAGTAACTCCTTTTTTTTTTTTTTTACTGGATCATTTCTTACTTGGATTGGTTTTCCTACTGTTAGCACTTACAAAGTAGCAGGTAAGAGAGAACAACTAGTACCCAAAATCACTTATTTTGCACACCTAGCAGATCAGAAGGAAATGTGAGCCACAAGGAAAACACAGACTCTACCACGGAGACATGCTTCACCAAGACCAAACAGGGCTTGTCAAAGACAAACACTTGCATGCAATTATTTGGGTGCTGTAGGCCAGAGCAACTCAGCCAAGAAGGTCAGACAATGCTGCTCCCTTTTACGCTTGATTCTACTTAACATGTACGAGAATAATCTAGTTAAAACTCAACACCCCTTGAGCAGGATGGGCAGAAAAGTTTTGTTATCTGTAAAATATTGATAAGGATTAAGTTGTTTGCCTAGCACTCAGGAAAAAAAGAACTTAAACCTTGCCATCTCTATCTTTCAGCAAGGCAGCACTCAATTCATTGATCATGTTGCCATTACCACTAACTGTTAACAGACTTCAACAACTATTACATTAAACTTACTTCATGTTCATAAACTCTAAATGAAGAGGGCTGGAAAAACTGACTTTAAGTACAATGAATTAATAAAATAAATTATTTATCCAGTGCAATAAATAAAACAGTTTCCGCTTGCCAAAGCCAAAACATGGAAGTTCTGCTCTTACAAAGAAAGTCTTAAGACCTAGCTATAGTCGAAGCATCTATATATGCTCTTACAGTCATGGCAGTTGTCATAAAATTTTCACTCAGTACAGAAGTATCTTCCAAAAATATTATTGCAAAATACACATTTTCTACAAAGCACATGAATTTTGTGAAGTGGATTTGAAATGAAAACAAGCAGATCTATAAAAACCATGAAAACATGGAACACACAAATTTTGAAAATATATCACGATGAGAACCATCTGATTAAAGATCTCAAAACCAGCTGCAGTTCCTCCTATACTGCATTTGCTCTGAGTCTTTCCATTAACTCAGTCAAACACCATTCAAATGTAATGTCTGACGAACACTTTTGAACTGAATGCCAGAAACTCGAGTACTACTCGGAGAACAGGCTCCCTCTATCAAATGTTCAATGAATAATCCCAGAAATTTGAACGTGAACTGCAGTAGGGTGAGACTGAAAGAAAAGGGGAAAAAGAAATAAAAGGTACCTTCTCTAAAACAACTTCACTCTTCTTCACCTCTAGCACCTTAGAGAGGTAGTGACACAGCTCTGCATTTGCTTCTCCGTCCGACGGAGGTGCAGCAATAGCTACACCTACTGCCTCAGTTGTCACATCTACAACAAAATATTTTAAGGAGTTTATCTTCAGAGTACTTAAAACATCTGGTTCTTAGCTCTTAAAAGTAACACTTATGTTTTGGAAATAATTTAATTTAAATCCAAATAAGCTCCCAGAAGAGTATGCAACTTGACATTTTTACACTCCACAAATTACTTAGTTCAAAAAGTCACCCAGTACAAAAAAAGTACAGACCTGTATAAAACTGGCACTAAGAATTAACAGTTTCTACATTGTAGCAACTGGGAAATTGCACTAAATCTCTCTATATAATGCCCATTCTGTCGCTGCTGTAGGTTCAGCTTTGCAGCATGTAGTGTTACCCCTCAAAGGCCTGCACACAGACCTGTGCTATCGCCAACAGGCTCTTGGCAGCCCAGGGCACCTGCACACTGCGCTGTAACCTGCTGCCAGCATGCTTATGTTTTACTGAACCTCACCAAATCACCTACTGTTTCTTAAACTCTGCATCAGCTTTTAAGCTGACACATATTTTAAAACAACACCAATTATGGTTCAAACTATTGCAACTGCTTTCCATCCCTGTTAAAACATCTAACAGCTGCAAACGGGCTTTAGCTTCTCTCTGAGGAGAGACACAGGGCGTAGCAAGTCGTGTTGCAGAAGACAGGTGCATCATACACACACACACACACACACGAAGACCGGCTTTAACTTGCACGTGAACAACCCCCCTTGTCGCTTCTTTCACAAGTTTCCCGTTCCCGGGGCACGGGCTCCCCCCGCTGGAGCGAGCGGCGCAGCCCGGCAGCAGCTCCCGCCTTCCC